CTGTGTACAGGATTCTTGGGGCTGCAGATGAAGAGTCCACACACACTGACAAGAAACAGACTGAAGTTGCAGCACGGGTTTAGATTAGTTATTAGGGTTTTTTTTTTCCATGGAAAGGGTGGTAAAGCATTGGAACAGGCTGCTTAGGGTGGTACTAGAGTCATCATTCCTGGAAGTGATAAAAAACCACATGGATATGACACTTAAGGATGGGTTAAATGGTGAACATGGTGGTGGTGGTGCTGGGTTGATGGCTGGACACTTGGTGATGTTAACTCTTTTCCAATCCTAAAAATTGTATAACTCTGCCTTTGCTATTTCCACATTAGGAAATATCTTTACAGGGAAGAGATTCCTGCTGCCTCATTCCCCTAGAGCATGATAAATCTGCACAGCACAAATTACACTCTAGCCTGCGAGAGGGACATCTCCAAGCACAGCGCAGCCCATGCTTCCACTGGGGCAGAAGGACACAACACACACACATTGCTGCGCTTCCCAATCTGCAGCCCAAGGCAAAAACACCAATGTGACCTTGTGACCTTTGTGCACTGGAAGGAGGAAGGCACAGATTACTGGGGAATGCACCCAACATAGAGGCAAGGAATTAGAGAATCAGTAAGGTTGAAAAAGACCTCTCAGATCACTGAGTTTAATCTACATCTGATCACCAACATGTCAATGAGGCCATGGCACTCAGTGCCTTATCCAGGCTTTCCTTAAACACCTTCAGGGACAACGACTCCATCACCTCCCTGGGCAGCCCATTCCAATGTTTAATCATCCTTTCCTGAGAAAAAATTCTTCCAAACGTCCAACCTAAACCTCTCCTGGTGCACCTTGAGGCCATGTCCTCGTGTTCTGGGAGCACAGCCAGACCCACACCTAGCTGCACCCTCCTGTCAGGGAATTGTGGAGAGCCAGAAAATCCCCCCAGGGTGAGCCCCTCCATCTCCCTCAGTTGTTCCTCATCACACCTGTGCTCCAGACCCTTCCCTGCCCTCTCTCCTGCCGTCCCCAACCCCTCCGATGTCCCGGCACAGCGGCTCCGGCAGCCCCGACCCCGCCCCGGGACACCCCAACCCCGGAGCTCCCGCGCAGGCGCACATGGCGCCCGCCCCCTCCCGCGCCTGCGCACCAGGGAGGGCTCCCTCACCCCCCCCCCCCACACCTGCCCGGCCCTGAGGGGGGACGGGGGCTCGGACCCCGCCGAGTCTTACCTCGGTGTTCCGCCACACACCGCCTTTAATCATAATCCGCGGCATCTTGGCGGCGAAGGGAGGCGGGGACGAGCCCCTGGAGTGAGAGAATGGAGAGGGGGAGGGAGCGCCACTGGGGTCAGCGGGGCCGGCCGAGACGGCGCACGGTCGCCCTCAGGGGCGGCGGGTGCCGAGGGCGAGGGAAGCGGGGCCGGCTGCTCTGCTAGAAAAGCGGGAAGCGGGTCCGGCGGCTTTCCCAGGAAAGCGGGTCCGGCGGCTTTTCCAAGGGAAGCGAGGCCACTGCTCCTGCGGGGAAGCGGGTCCGGCCGCTTCGCGCATGCGCAGCCCCCCCGCGTGTCCTGAGGCGGCGCTCGCGCCCCCTGCCGGCCGGAGGAGCGCACGGCGGAGGGGCCCGGGCGGTAACGAAAGGAGGAACTGGGCGTTTATTAAACTCCTCAAATTCCCTCAAGGGACGCAAAAGAGACAGCGGAAAGAAATCACATCTCCCCAGTGTTCCCAAGGTATTTTGTTAATTTCAGGAAAAAGCCTCATGCGTTTATGTGTGGAATAAATTCTTGGCTGTGAGGGTGGTGAGGCCCTGGCACAAAGTGCCCAGAGAAGCTGTGGCTGCCCCTGGATCCCTGGTGGTGTTCAAAGCCAGGTTGGACAGGGCTTGGACCAGCCTGGGATGGTGGAAGGGGTCCCTGCCCATGGCAAGGGGTGGAACAAGATAATCTTTAGGGTGCCAATGCAAAACTATTCTGTGATTCTACAAGAGAGCAACCTTGATAGTGCATTTGCATATTAACACTCACACACGCACACCAAAGGAGCGTATATAAGCTACATACTTGAATTTGGGAACTTCTCATAGGCAGGTACTCATGTCACTCCCAACAGGTGAAGGGTTGAGTCTCAAGGAGTGGGGATCTCAGCTCAGGACCTGTCACTGTCCCTCAGCTGTGGTGCCCCAGGCTCTCCAGCCTGGGAGCTCAGAGAGGCCCCACTCAGTGGGAAGTGCTGCTCTCAGCCTGCTGCAGTCTGGAGAGCTCAGAGGGCCTAAAATACCCCTGCTTAGAGAGTCACAACAGACTTGGCTTTGCTCATAGCAATTTTCCTCCCTGGCTGCAATTCAGGTTGGTAACTTTCTCTGAAAGTTCAAAAACAAAAAAGTTGTTCCACATCAATGGTTATTCAGGTAAGAAAAATAAGTTCACAAAGGCTCTTAAAACCCAGAGGGCTCCTTAGCCAGCACAAGTTCCTGGGAGCAGACAGTGTTTTGGACAAGCTCAAGAGGAGCTCAGCTCAGCTTGTCAAGGCCAAGCCTTAACAATCATTTGTGAGACCACAGTGTGGCCCAAACAGAAGGAGGCACCGCCACACCACACAGGTCTGACTCACTATTGTTCATTTATATCACCTCCAGTTTAATTTGTAATAATTTAATTACCAGATGCACAGCAGGTGAAATGACAGTTTTTTGCTCAATTTGTCTTGCTACATTTCCATGTTTTGTCCAAATACAGGATATGTTCATGGAGAAAATTATGAAACTTCTCAGGTTTAATTAGGAAACTTCATATTATGATTTAGGAAAGGCTTTGATTTTTGTTTAAACTGCAGGAATAAAAAATATTACAGTTCTAGCTACCAAAAAAAAAAATAATTCCAACAACAGCCCATGTCTTATTTGAAACTGAATATGCCTCAATCTTTAAATTTCACTGACTTAGTAGACTGAGAATACCTTTGAAACCCCAAAAATCCAGTGCAGTGCATAAGGAACAGAAAGCAACATCAGGAGTCATTGAACTGCTTATTTTTATTAGAGGCAGTGACTAGGAATAATTATTTTTATAAAATCAAGCTCTAACTGAAAGTACCTTCTTGTTCTTACTTAAAATTTGAAGAAACTTACATTTACAAACTCTTTCAAAAATTTATTGCAGATAATTTATCCCCCTAAACCAGGCTGTTTTCATCATTGTTGTACACCATGCTTTTAAACAACAGTGCTCTGTCAGATTTAGCCTTTCTAGTCTCATCTAATATAGAGGCTTACAATCCCTTCAGTATTTTTGTTTTCTCTTTGTACCTGTTCTTTTCAAATCAATGACCAGAATTGTAATGTAACACAGGTAAAAACGCCTCCAAGCTTGAGTAACCATCAATATTTCCCAGGAATGCTTTTCTTTCTTCACACAGGATAACATTCTTCTTCCTCACAACTGGATTAGGTGGCTCCAAGGTCTGAATCACTGATCTGTAACCACCATGGTTCAGACACAGACACTTGTCTGACTTCACTGAAGCTGCAAAGAACTGGGTCACTTGAATATCTCTGCTGATCTGGCCTTAAATACATTCATGTGTCCATGAGTTTCAACCCATTCTTGGAAAACTGTCCCCCAAATCACAGAATGGTTGCAGGGGTCTGGCAGACAGGCCCTTGCTCAGGCAGGGCCACCCAGAGCTGGTTGTCCAGGATTACATCCAGATGGTTTTTAAATATCTGAAAAGAGGAGAATTCCAATACCTCTCTGGGCAGCCCTTCCCAACCTGTCTCCAATGTTAGCAGAAAGTCTCTTATGTTACAAGACATTATCTGTATTTCTACAGAAGGACACACATCCAGAAGCAGAAGAAAAAGTAGAGTTCCACATTTACATTCTCTAAATTAAACCACAGGTTTGTTCTGCTGCTCTATGGACTGAGCTGTGGCATTTGGACAGTTTGCACCAGGCCTTTGCTGTTGCCTTTCCTCACACAAGGGGATAACAGAGTTATTAAAACCACTGACCACACTCAAAGAGTTCCTAGCACTGCATAACTCCAAAGCAAACAAAGATTTGTCTAGATTTGAATATGAATTGGAAGCAGCATCCATCTGGGTTCACCATACCCTGCACCAACTGCTGCACAGTACAATGGTCCTTACACACGATATTTTAGACTAAAAGTAAAGTTCTAAACTAATTTTAATTTCAGACACTGTGAAGGTCTTCAATGTAACTAAACACATTCACAATTATTATTAACAGAAGTTATTTGAAAAGTGTTTCATCTATTTTAACAAACAACACAGTAACTACCAACCTGAGAAAAGGTAAGGCATTTTGTACTATATTAACATTAGACATTCACATCAAATTGACGATTTAAAGATTCCTAGTATCATAAAATAGATGTTTCTGGACATTACCATTTCTGTCAGACTACTGAAAAAATTATCAAAACTACAGACAAGGTAACAGCTTAATAAACATCTTATATATACAGACACATGTTAAACATTTCAATGTCACAATTACCCAGTGATGACATGCATATTTTGTTTCTGTAATTTGGTGAGATACCATTTTTTTTCCTCTTACAAGTATTGCAAAAAGCACCTGGGAGTAAAGGAGGCAACTTTCAGCAGATGGGAGGTAGCATTTAGCCTCCAGATGCACTGATAATTTTTATATGAAAAGTTATTACTACAAAATATAACATGCCCTTCCTTCCCTCCTGCTACACATCATTTCAGTTAGAAAAGAGATTTTTTTTTTCTTATTAAATTTTTACAAGAAAATAAGTGGTGCAGAATAACTGCTTAAACACAGATGAACACTGGCCGAAATAACTGACCTCTACTGAAGCAGTTACTCAGGGATGAAAAAGTGTCTCCAAGGTCTTTAGCACAGCCTGTGCTAGAACTGATGTTCCCAGAAACACCTGCAGCAAACCAGGACCCCAAGTGTCACTCTCCCAACCAAAATGCTGCATGCATCCATCACCAACCATTGCTCTGGGACAGCAAAGGAACGTAAAGCCATGAAAAAACTCAGGACATGCAAACCTGCCCAAAGCCAAGCACCAACTTCCAATTCTCAACCTCACATTCCAGCGTCGTGCTGCTGCTTATGCTTCTCCAGCAGTTTTTTGGTGGGCAGCACCACATTACACTTTGCACACCTGTGCTTCTTTTTGTGTGTTTTTATGTGCTTTTGGAAAGCTGCTTTATCCACAGTGGAGTACCTGCACCTCCTGCAGTGCAGCTTGAGGTGGGTCAGCCAGTGGCGCTTGAGGTGGCTGGAGGTGCGGAAGGCCAGCGAGCACTGCCCGCACTGGAACGGCTTCTCCCCCGTGTGGATCCTCAGGTGCAGCTTCAGGTTCCCGCTGTGGGTTGTGCAATAGCCACACTCCTCACACCTGTACGTCTTGACAGGCAGCTCCTCGTGCTCGTAGAAGCAGCCAGGAGAGGAGGTTCCCTCCCCGGTGTGAGAAGCCAGGTGCTGCTTCAAGGACAGCCATTTGTTGGTGGAGTAGTCACAGCTCATGCACTTGAAATGCCCCACGTTCAAATGCGTGAGTCTGTGCCTCTTGAGGTGACTGGAAGTGCGGAACTTCTTCTGACAGACGAGGCAGCTGTAGGGCTTCTCACCTGTGTGAGTTCTGATGTGGAGCTCCAGGTTGCTTAAAATGGCAGTAGCATAGCTGCACTCTGAACACTGATATAGTAATGGCTGACTTTGTGCTTGTACATCATTTGCTGTGCCCCTCTGAACACCTTGCTGAACTCCCCAAACTTCTGAACCAAGCAAGGAGCTGTTTGAGCCTTTGCAGGAATCAAAATCCCTTTCTGGGTATGTGCCTCTCTGGATTTCACGATGCAATTCAAGTTTCTCTAAACACCTCTCTACAAAGAGGCAACTTCCAAACTCCTCTCCATTTTTCACATGAAGAAGGCTGTGTTTCTGCAAATGGTTTGATGTTTTAAATGTCTCATTGCATTCTTTACACACGAACGGTCTTTCATCTGTATGTATCTTTAGGTGTAGCCTGAAGTTCTTAGGAACAGAAGTAGCATAACTGCAGTGCTGGCATCTGTATGTTTGGAATGTATTGAAATTAGAAGGACATGTATCCTCCAACTTTTCCACAAAGTTATGAAATGAAGCATTATCTAGCACTTGTGAATGAGAGGTCTCTGATTTGAAGAAAGGCTCCTCTTTGTAAGTGATGGTGTCCATTTGGTAAGAGGTCTGAGGAACTTCTGATCTGTTTCCAGCAATAGCCAACCTGCTGCCTCCTTGGCTGTTTCCAAGGAATTTCTTTCCAGGACACATTTTCTTATTGTTCCACACATCACCTTCTTGCTCAAACTCCACTTCTGAAGCCAGGATTCCCCCAGCCAGACAATCGTTTTCTCTACCAAAAACAGAGTGAGAAACATGGCCCTGAGAATCACCATCAGCTTTGCCTACTGTGCTTGTACAGTATTTATTGCTCTGACTTGTGTAACCACTGGCCTTTAACTGTTCATGAAATTTCTTGTGAAAGCTGAGATGTCCTTTGGTGTAGAACACCAGGTTACATTCATCACACGTGTAATTCTTTGGAAGCTTTTCAGTTCTCTTTCTCCCACTCAGGCAGTTGGGTTGCTGTGCCTGGCACGTTTCTGTCTCTGCATGTGTCCTCCTGTGTCTCTCCAAGCCTGAGGTGCTGGTGAATGCTACCTGGCAGAGCTCACAGCAATATGGTTTATCCCCTGTGTGGACGTGGCTGTGCCTCACCATGCTTGCAAAATACAATGAGAAGAAGGTGCAGAACCTGCACTGGTAGAGCTTGTAGCCAGCATGCCAGTACATGTGATTTAACAGGTAGGACAAGCTGCTGCAGGAGTAATCACACTGAGGGCACTGGTAAGGTGGTCTCTCCTTGTGTCCCTTCATGTGATGAATGAAACTCCTAGGACTGGATGAAACAAAGAAACAAATTCTGCAGGAAAAGCTAACTGGCACATCCAGAGGTGTAAAGTCCCTTTCAATTTTAATGAAAAATTTCTTGTATTTACTTTCTTTTTTCTTGGTCTCAGATTTTCCTTCAGATCCTTTCTGCCTCCCTTTTCTTGCACTTATTCTATTTTTTCTTGCCTTTTGCAACCTAGCAATCTTCTTATGAAATTTAAGGTGATTCTTAAGATTGAAAGAAAAGAAAAAAGTTTTTTTACAAAAGCAGCATTTATGTATTTTCTTATCTTTATGTGCTGAATAAATATGTTTCTTCAGGTGTGCACTGCATTTAAACACAGAACTACAAAACCTGCACTTGAAACTCGATCTTTCATTCTCCTTTGCAACACAAGATGTTTTAGGAAGAGGTGTGATGGTCACACCATCATTCAGCCACTTTAAACCTTCTTGCTGGCTCTGGAACTCTTCTGGGCTTGCATGAGAAGAAACACCTTTTTGTTGCTGGTGTCTTTTCCTAGGGAATGGTGTTAACATCTTGTAAATATGCTCTTCAGAAGTATTTGGTTCAGCAGAAGTAGAAGCATTCATGTCAGGTTTCCCTACATCTTCTAGATTTTCCTTAAAAGTGGAACATTCATTAAGAAATGGATCAGGACAATTGTAGGTAAATTTCTCTTCTTCTTTCAAGCCATGTTCCAAAAGAGAACTCACAGCTTCATCTTCAAATTTGCTTATTTGCCTGTAATCAATTTCATCATCTCCATTCTTTGAGGAATCAGAATCTACAAGGAGATATAAAACGTCACATTTCATACAATCACAAATATTCATTATTAATTCATAGTAATAATCCCAAATTGCCTAATGAGTTGCTTGTTCTTCATATCTTCTGTTTCCTTATTATTTCCCTCTCTCCATTTTTTCCCTAATGTCTCTCTTCAAGCTCCCCTCTGCCCCAACACTGAAATGTTGCTCCTTGTTAGAAGCCACCATCTCTCCTACTTTATATTTTTACTCAAGACTCTGAATTTAACAAGACAACACCACATCCAGAACACCTTCATGGCAGAATTCCTATCAAAGTACTAACACCAAGCTTTTCTAATGCTCCATTCTCACAAATACCAGGCTTTTTGGGCATTTTTATTTTGGGAACATTTCCCTGATGAAAGGACACCCTTGTTCTCATTGGAGGAGAATGACAAAATTTTGTTGTTTCACTGCTTTTCACAGGAGTCTGTGACAGAACTGAGCATACTCCAGGCAATATTCTCCTTCTGTTGCATTTATGAATCTAATTCAAAATGCTTACTCTAAAAGAAATTGGTTTCTTAGCTTTTCTATATAATTTTTTATTTCAAAAATTTGAGGTTTACCATATTTCTTAAATTCTTGCAACAATCTTATTAATATATTACCTTCCATTTTAACAATTATCTCAAATTCCTTGTGAAGTTCTGCTTGTGTCTCTGGACAGCCATCCAAAAGAGCATTTGTAATACTGACAGGCTCTTCTTCATCTTTGGGTACCACTTCCAATGTCTCCAAAGTGTCGGCTCTGTCACTGTCAGCAGAGGAGAGGAGAGGAGGAATCTTCTGAAAGCCATCATTATCAGCACAATCTTCTCCATCACTGTATTTCACTATCTCTGGAAGCTCTGTTTTGCAAGGAGATGTAGTTAAGATGCAATCTGGACCACATTTATCCGAGTCTGCATCATGGACATCACTTAAGGATAATTTCGATGTGTTACACACACTCTCAGCAAGCCATTTCTCCTCAGGGTACTCAATACAATTATCTTCATTTGAAACAGTCTTGTCTGCATCCCAATTGCCTACACTGCTGCTGTCATTTGAAGGCTCCACTTCGTTTTTTAGGCAAATGTTGTTGTTTAATTTAAACTCCTGCTCCACCTCGGGAATGGACGCTTCGTGGTCCTTATCATCATCCTCGAGAAAATCCTCATCGCTCAGCACCAAGATAGTGATTGGCAGCACAATCTCAAACACCTCGGGCTCTGCGAGGAGAAACAGACACAAATATCGCAATTCCCTAAAAAATAAAACCCCGAAACACCCGACGGCACCGCGTCCACCATAATCCCCACGCATGCCCAGTGCGCATGCCCCGGCGGGCCCGCCAGGTCTCCCCGTTCCCGCCGTCCCCACTTTCCGCGGTCCCTCGGGCACCGCCACTGCCGCGGGAGCCGCGCTGGGTCCGTGCCCAGGCCAGCAGCACCTACCGCTGTCCGCGGCCGGCGGCGGAATCTCCTCCGCGCCCGCCTCCGCCACTCCCGGCTCCGTCGGCATCTCCGGGCCGCAGCGCCGCGGGACTCGAACCAGCGGCCGGGCGCGCCTGCGCACGGGGCGGGGGCGGCGCCTCCCGGCTTCGGGGGGAGGCGGGGGCGAGGCTTCAGGAATGTGTGGGCTGGGACCCGAGACTCTGAAATACGCATTAAAGTTCAGTTTTCAACGTGCTCATAAGTGGTTTAAAAACTCCGTTTATTCACCCACCTGGGCCAGGGAGACCCCAGCCCTGGGCAGAATTATTCGAATGCTCCGCGAAACCTATTCCCGTTTTAAGCGGTTTTGATGGGTTGTTACTTCTTTTCCTGTAAAATTAGATCTCAGCTAATACCGATCATACTCTTAAGATCGGAATTGTGCCAACAATAAGGTACTCCCTTGCTGGGTACAGAAAGAATCACAACATGATTGCAGACAGGGATCACAAAATTCATGGGAACATAAAAGAGCACCTTTAGTTTCATCCTGTTCTCCTTGGCTGTTCGGGCTGAAAGTGGAGAATATATGAACCTATGTACAGACATATTTACATTATAGAGATGTATATAAATTTATATACATCTATAAATTTATGTACATGCAGGGTGTCCCTGCCCATGATAGAGTGGCTGGAATGAGGTGGTCTGTGAGGTCCCTTCCAACAAAAAACTTTCTGTAATTCTGTGACTTGCGGCTGGAAGGGACCTTTGGAGATCATCCAGTCCAAACCCCCTGGCAAGGCAGGGTCACCTGGAGCAGCTGAACACAGGTGGGTTTGGAATATCTCCAGAGAAGGACAATTCACAAAATCCCAGGGCAGCCCACTCCAGTGCTCTGTCACCATTAACGTAAAGAAGCTCTTCCTCACGTCTAGGTGGAACTTGTGTTTAATTTTACAGCCGCTTCTCCTTGTCCTATTGCTGGGCACAACTGTAAAGAGGCTGGCACCATCCCCCTGGCACCTGTCTTGGAGATACTTGCACAGATTGTTGAGATCCCCTCTCAATCTTCTCTCCACAGACTAACCAGGCCCAGTTCTTGCAGTCTCTCCTCATGAGAGATGCTCCAGAGGCCTCATCATCTCTGTGGGCTCTCCAGTAGCTCCTTGTCCTGCCATCCCAGAGATCCTCCCAGCTCCCGGCACCCTGTTCCTGACAGAATTTTATCCCCATCCCCAGCTGTGATCCCACATTCTGCAGTGCTAGAGGATTCCCAGTTTCCATTTTCCAGGCTCAGCACTCAGTAGTGGTGTCTCCAGAAGAGGGTGGAATGTTTCACCACTCCAGTGAGAGGAATTTTCCCTATTCCCTGTCTTCTTCCCCCAATAAAAATTGTGGAACCAATTATCTGCCTTAATTTCAGAGCCTTGCACTTCTTGTATATGGAGCAGCACCCATTTATAGGAACATTTGTTCAGTTTGTGAAATTTAGGTGGCATCTTTTTATCTTCAAATAGAACTGATGAAGCCTCAAGGGAGGAGCATTTCCAAAATCCTCCTAACTAGGAGTATTAAATTAGGAACAGATGAGAGGAATATTGGCTTCTGTGTTTCAGCTCTGAGGGAATTTGGGATTCTCTACAGAGTTGAGACTTGTTGATGCTCCAAGGTGAGTGAAACAGATGCTGGGGTGAGCAGCATGTCTTGTGTAGACTTTTTGCTGCCCGAGCAAGCCGCAACATGTGAAAAAACCAAAGTAAAAAGGTCTCCTCCTGGCAGAACTGAGTCTCCCCCACAAGATGGCTCTGCAGCCACAGGCTCTGCAAGGGAAGAACCTGGAAATACTGGTTATTTTTCTTTTTTAAAAGCCCTAACTTTAAAATAATCTCCTTTGAAAGATATCTGCCTCACTAGAAAACCTGCAAAATTCTGTGAAAACTTTACAAATATGTCAATCCAAGCCTTTTTTTTCAAAAGTGGCTCTTTCTACTCTTTTTCTTAAAGGAGCAGACTGTTTCTCTTAGCCTACTACTTCGTGATGCCATCATGCAATGAACAAAGTGACCATGAAATGGCTGAGGAATTAATCTGGTCAATCTGGGCTTCATCTTCTTCCTTTCAAGCCCTTTGCACAAAACTATGTTTTGCAAATGGAGTGATCTGAACCTCCTTGCAACTGTGCTTATGCCCACACTCCTGCATGAAAAAAGTTTTAGAAAGTATCTTGTAAGGAATAGGATGGGGGGAAATGGCTTTAAGATGAAAGAGGGTGGATTTAGAATGGGTATTAGGGAAAAAAAATCTCTCTAATGGTGGTGAGGCCCTGGCAGAGGTTTCCCAGAGAAGCTGTGGCTGCCCCTGAATCCCTGGAGGTGTTCCAGACCAGGCTGGACAGGACTTGGAGCAACCTGGGATAGTGGAAGGTGTCCCTGCCCATGGCAGGGGCTTGGAATGAGATAACACTTAAGGTTTCTTCCAACCCAAACCATTCTGTGATTTTGTGAAATATTAGATACTATGAGAAATTGAAGCAACCGAAATAAATTGTGATTATTTGAAGTGCGGATTTTTGCCATTTTTATGGCCAGAATGGTGGTACAGAGTTTTACCTCAACTAACATAAGATATTGACCTAAAAAGTGTAACTTGAGAGTGTAGTCACTGCAAGTGGTTTTTATCCTCTTGCATTTAATCCTGTAGGTTGGAAAGGCCTGTGCCAGTAATTTTGTAAGGTCTTGCATCAGTGTCCTTCACTTTACAAGCCTGGGCACATAACAAAAAATCAAGCAGGAAATATTAAACAAAAGGCCTGAAAGTTGAGGGCTAAAAGATAATGTCACCTTTAGACCAGGGAGAGTCAGAGAATTGTTCCTGGGAAACTTTCATTGTGTAGGTGCATAGTGTAAGTGCATTTGGTCTGGCAATAAGAGAAGTGGTAGCTGAATACAAATCCAGCTGGAAAAGCATAGAAAATGGTCTGGATAATTTGAAAATGAAGTTATTGATCAATATCAGCTCATATAAAGAGGGAAATATCTCCAGAAGGATTGCTCAGCCCAGATGTTGCAGTAACAAATCAAGGCTTAGTAACTAAATGGATTCTTTTACTGTAAAACCTGCTGGTTTGTTTTTCTCTTTCTCACACTGCCATTGACTCTTTTTTTTGTCCCTTTTTGAAAACAGCTCCACTGAAGTCTGCTCCAGAGGGAAGAGAAGAAAACACATTGGTGAGGACAAAGAGCTGAGCAGCACTTAGGCACAGAGCCTTCTCACACCAAATGCCCACAGAGAGAGGCAGCTGAGGATTGAGAGTCACACAAAATCCCAGCACACTCTTCTCTCCAATACCTTCTGCCCCAAGCAGATCTCCTTATCACTAAGTTCACCTTGAACTTGTGGAAACTGCAAGACTAGGAAAGAAATTCAGTCTTATGCTTAGGGTACAGGAGCCAGGAAGTTTGATTTCAATTCCTGTTTTTTCTGCAGGTTTGTGAAAATCCCTATTGTTTGCAGAGTGTTTCAAGGTCTTCACCTTGCTATAAGAGAACAGAGCAGTGCTCTTATATGTTTTCAGCTCTCAGTGTTGGAAGCAGAGTTTGATTTATTGCCGTAGGCAGTATTTCCCTTAATCTGGAGACAAATATATCTGAGGTAGAACTCAGGAAAACCTGGGAATGTAGAGTCTTTTCTCTGGCAAATTGAGCATGGTCCATTCTACTGATTTTGCTCTTTTTCTCTTCATAGAATCATGGAATAGTTTAAGATGGAAGCATCTTTTAGAGGTCATTGACTCCAACTCCACTGCCATGGACAGGGACACTTTCCACTAGACCAGGTTCCAAGTCACCTCCATCCTGGCCTTGAACAATTCCAGGGATGGGGAAGTTCTCTTGTGCCTTTCTGATGTGAAAGACAGAGAACTTCTGAATCAAAAATGACTGGGTTTTATGAGGCCACACCAATCTGAACAAAGTTAGCCCAAAACTGAGTTCTGGGATCTGTTGCCATTTGAGAGAGAAACAAATGTGGCAAGAGAAATTTCAATTTGAAAGTTTCAGCATAGCAAGACCTCATTGTGGAAAGTGTGAAGAAATCTTAATAGAGGGTGTTAGTGCCTCTGTTTTCTGGAATAATTTGAAAACTAAACATTAAAATACTGACAGTAACAGAGGGTAATGATCCATTGCTTGTCAAAAAATAATATGTAGGAAAAGGTCAGCTCTTTGGGGAAGCAAGTGCCTCTGGATTGACAAGGTTAATCATAAAAATAAGTGTATTGCTGCCAGATTGCCAGTTGCTGGGTAACCCACAGGTGCAGGGAAGGGTGTTTGCTTAGTGGCAGGAATTTATTATTTCACCATCTGGGTGAGGTTTTCTTCAGTGGAGCGTGTAAGATTTTTATTCTGACAATGCAGTCTGCCTGCTCTATTTGACCAGCTAATGTGTCTCTATACTCCATTGATAATATTGGCTGCAAGCTTAATTCAGTTGTGTGAATGTGAATAACAATAAAAGTTCTCCATTTAGTTTTTCTGTATCCCTAATGGACTTAAATTAACTTTAAAAACACATCCGCACCAGATAAGATAAAATAGCATCATTAGTTTGTGGAAAAGGTGCTTCCTTGGCTCAAGGTTTGAGATCAACCTGAAAACATGATAATTATAATTTTTTTTTCAGAGCAAGGCAAAAGTGCCTCAGTCAAAACAGAGAATGTTCTATTTACTTTTAACTGGATGTTAATTGATTGTTTAGCTGTTTTTTCACATGGTTTTTGCATTAAATTCTTCCCTCTGACAATGGTGAGGCCCAGGCACAGGTTGTCCAAAGAAGCTGTGGCTGCCACATCCCTGGAAGAGTTCAAGGCCAGGCTGGACAGGGCTTGGAGCAATCTGGGATAGTGGAAGGTTTCCCTGTCCATGGCAGGAGCTGAAACAAGATGAGCTTTCATGTCCCTTCAACCCAAACCTTTTATGACTCTATGATTTTGTGTGGCAGGGGTTTTCTGCAGGTTGGAGGCCTATTGGTGTGATCTGGTCATGCCCTATTGTGAACTCCTGTTCCTCTCCCAAACTGGATGATTAGGACACCTTCCATAGCCAGGTGACTCTGACTTGGATCCAGGCAAACAAAATTTCCAGGTACAGTTTAGGAGTTAGCATGGGCCAGGGCTGATTTCCCAGAACAGAAATAAACAGAAGGAATGAGCAGAGAAGATTAATGCCTGTACAAAATCAGATGAGAACCTCTGGCACTCATGATGCCATCTAGAAAGATGTTTGCTATATCATGCAAGTAACTTTTTGTTTGTGTGTTTCAAAAGATTTCTTAAAAAATCCTCCCAAAACTGAACTATATGGTGATCAGATGTAGTTTATGGAATTATAGTCAGTGTGGTTACTTGTCTGCAGCTGGGAGTAGTCTTTCAGCTAAAAGAAAAATAGATGAATGGTCTTCCAACTGATTTGCAACTTTGTTTTGTATTCTGCAGCTGCTTCTAAATCCCAGCAGAAATCAACAAGATTATTCATGCTGACAAGATTGAAAATGATGAAAAATTATGGGAAAGGGGAAGCCAAAGATTTTGTGTTTGCAACCTTTTCCTCAGCTAAACATGTCAGGTCCCTCCTAGCTCATTTTTGTATTTTCCTTCCAGATTAGATTGTTCCATCTTTAGGTACTTTTGCACTTTTAGCATGCGCAAAACATTTTTTCCCCCTATAGTTTTGCCTTGCTTAAGTGGCAGTTGCACAGCACATTGGAAGTGATTGAGACATTCACCAAGTGGTATGGATTTGTCATTAAAGTAGGATCATTACCAGGGTGACTGAGCAGTCTAAAGGCATTATATATCTAAAGGCATTATATTTATATTTTCCTGGTGAGGGTGGTGAGGCCCTGGCACAGGTTGCCCAGAGGAGCTGTGGCTGCTCCATCCCTGGAAATGTTCCAGGCCGGATTGGACAGTGCTTTGAGCAACATGGGATAGTGGCAGGTGTTTCTACCTTCAGAAATCTCATTCCTTGTCTGTATTCACTCCTTATCAGTATTTCTTTATGGGATATTTAAAAAACAGAAGTACAGATCTTCCCCAAACAGGTTGGCATTCCCTGATAGATGCTATGAATCCATATATCTCAGATATGTCTGTTAAGTTCACAAAATGCTCTGAGATTTCAAAATACAGCTATTATGGCAATAACCATTGTTACTCTTGTTTTTAATAGGTGCTGACAGTCAGAAATATTTTGAGGTAAGTGCCAAGTTAGAAGCTGTGATTCTGAATAGAGTTTTTCAAATACTCAAGGGGTCTGTTATATTTGAGGTAATTTGTCTGGACTGTCATCCCAGAAACATCTGGTGGAAGGGGATCAGACTGGCACAACAAAGACTGGCAGTGGTGCTTACATGTCCTCTTCTGGAGCAGCTTTATGGGTTTGGTTGTGCTAAGATAGCACAACCAAATTTTCAGATAGCTCAAGAAAATTCAGTAAAGCCCTGCAAAGTGTTCAAAATCACTTTGCAGGGCTTTACTGAATTTTCTTGAGCTATCTGAAACTCAGCATTTCCATTTAATGGCAAATGTCTAAATCTCAAAGTATGTTTTTATTCTCAGTGTGAACATACCCACAAGTATAAAACCTTTCCTGCCCATTTAGAAAAGTGTTGTTTTAAACACTAAATATATATAGAGAAACTTCACTTGAAAATTAAATTACTAGTTCAAAGCTTATTTTGTTTTGTTTCTAATCTTAGGATGAGGTGTTGGTGCATGTCCGAAGAAGGACAATGGAGCTGGGGCTGGAGCACAGATCTGATGAGGAACACCTGAGGGGAGCTGGGAAAGGGGTTCAGGCTGGGGAAGAGGAGGCTCAGGGGGGACTTTCTCACTTTCTACAACTCCCTGACAGGAGGGGGCAGCCAGGTGGAAGTTGGGCTCTGCTCCCAAGGAACAAGTGATAGGACAAGAAGAAATGGCATCAAGTTGCACTAGGGGAAGTTTAGATTGGATATTAGAAAAAAAAAATTTATTAAGTGAGTTATCAGTTATTGGAACAGGCTCCCCAGGACAGTGGTAGAGTCACCATCCCTGGAGGAATCAAAAAAACATGTGGCTGTGGCACGTGGGGACATGGTTTAGTGACAGGCTGGGCAGTGCTGGGTTTATGATTGCATTCAATGATCTTAGAGCTTTTTTCTACCCTAAACAATTCTGTGTTCAATGATTCTCTCCTGACACAGCAGTTCTAATGGCTCAGGACATGACCCAGCTCATCACTCTGTATCCTGTCAGGATAAGAACCAGGTAAGGATGCTATTGCTGGGCAACCACGTGGGCAGTTTCTAGTAGATGAGATTCATCAGCAATTTCCTAATTTTAGATGGCTTTTTTGTGTCATGGCTACACTGGAGTTTGGTGGCCAAGTTCCTGATTTGGAGAGGGATTTTCTACAGCCAAAAATGTGGAGTCCAAGTCTGTCTTAAATTAGATTCCTCTACTTAGACAAGTGATTTCCTGTCTCCATTGCCTGTATTGAGTCATTCTCCACTAAGCATAATGGGAGTCTGGACTGCTGTAGCCATGTCCATTTAGGTTTGAAGTTGGTGCTGAATTTCTCCCTGTTTGTTCACCAGTGGGATGAGAGCTTTCTGAGACCTCATTAGTGGCAATAACTTAAAGCCTCTTGTCCATTTATTGTTATTGTGTTTATAATATGCATAAGACCATTTTGGGCCTGTGATCCAGAACATGTAACCAGAGCAGGGTGCATCAAAGTCTGTCTTGTCACTGGAATATTTTTCAGTTGGTAATATAGAATCCTATTGGGGCAAAGCTCTGTAGTTCATACAAGACAACTCAAAACCAACTGGGTTCATCTGAACCTATCTCCATTAGGATCTTGTGTTGACTTTGCTGTTGGATTTAGCAATCAGCTATAAAAGACAACATTTTCAAAGCCAGTCTAATGAAGATACTTAGAGTGATATTCTTCCAACCACATGTTTGAATCTGAGAAAATTACTTCAGGCTTTATTCCCTTTATTGTTGATGGGAAGAAGCAGGAATTTAGATGTAAGTCATCTGACCTATTTTAGATGTCCATTTTGGAGTGATGAGTTGCAGATGAAATGCTGATTGCTCCCCATTGAGTATGAGAAGCCAGAGGGGGATTAGCTGAGATGCAGGTGACTGATGGAGGAACTCATCCCCTCCTCACTTCAGGGTACAACGTTTGGCCTTATCAGCAATAGCTTTATCACCCACAAAAAGCCATGGCTGATATGGGGTCTCTCCCAGGACAAGTCTGCATGGAGATGAGACCAGACACTGGAACTGGAGCTCCATTTCCACTTGGGAATGATTCACTGAGGTCAAAGGGAATCTTTCCACTGGCTTCAATAGGCTTTGCAAACCCCAGAGTTTCAGCATACATTAATTTAGCAGCTGGGTGTCACAATTTAAGATAACATCATTCTCCTGGGTTTTATTGTCAATGTTTTGTCAAAGGTCAGCGCTCACAGCAGAACTGGCAGTCCAAAATTAGCCACAGACTAATACAGCAGTTACTTCATAAAGGTCATAAAAGCTGTGCATGTGCTATTCCTAACAGAATATTCCTCTCTTGGTACCTGAGTCTCTTCTGCTTTGGTTTATCTACTCCATAGTCTTCATCATCATAGAAATCCATACTTAATCCCTTTGTCCATCTCCTCCAGGGCTGCCAGTGGTCTGTGGTTTACAAAGAACAGCTTCCCCATCCAATCCCCACTCCCTGACATGTAATCTCTGTCCTTTCAGCCTTTAACCACCTTGAAGCTGCATCTCAGTAGCAAGTTTGGTGGATTAAACAAATCACCTCTGATAAAGAGGGGGCTGAAAGTACTTCTGATAAGAATTGAAAATGGACAAAAAAATTTGGGGTAAAAGCTGGATGTTCTTCCTTTCTGCCAGGCAGGCAGAGATATTGCTTATTTGAAGGAAAACTATTAAGAGAAAATTCAGTATTTAGTTGTATAACTGAAGCTTGAAACTTCATTAATTAATAATTAAATAACTTTAAAAACTATTATAGTTTTTGGGGTAAGTGAAGACTTCGGAGAGAAAACAGAAGACTTTAAGTATTTGTCTTATTTTTGTGGCATTGTGGGTGCTTTTGCAATACTTATACTTTTACTCACCCCACTGCCCCAACATCCTTTTCAGCATCATTTTGGAGTCCACAGAGTGCTTCAGAGAACACACTACTGCCTTACAGAAAAGCCTTACAGGTACCTACAATTTTCTGCACCAAAAGAGAAGCAAACTCATGTTCATGTGTTGTCCAGGTCAGTGTGATGTGACTTTCACAGTCAAACCCAGATTATCCAAATGCTAATAGCCTCATTGTCCTGGTCATGTTTCTACAGGAAGGAAATGGTAATTAAAAACCTTTGGGGAAATAATCTTAAAGTTGGACAGCTAAAATACTTTGTTTTGTTTTAAATAGCAAGCCAGCTTCATGACCACTGCATGCTCTGAGGAATTTCAGTTTTGGCAGTAATGGAAGCAAGGGGAATGTAACACAGTTGAAAGCCTTAACTCAAGATTTGAGACCATATGTTCCAGTTCATCCTTTATTACAGGTTTCTTGTATTTCTTAGAATGTCTGTCAGGGGAGGATTAAAATCAACCAAATTTAGCCACCTCAAATTAGGTGGTTTATTTAAGTCACCTCTCTGGGCTCTCTGTAATCCCAGAAAGGTTTGGGTTGGATGGGACCATAAAGATCATCTTGTGCCACCCCTACCATGGGCAGGGACACCTTCCAACATCCCAGGCTGCTCCAGCCTGGCCTTGGACACTTCCAGGGATCCAGGGGTAGCCACAGATTTTCTGGGAAACTGTTCCAGGGCCTCACCACCCTCACAGTGAATAATGATGGTATTATTCTTATTATTATTATCATTGTTATTGCTGTTATTGCTATTAAATTTAATGCCAGTAGGCACTTGCAAAAAAAAAAACTGATCTCATCCAGAGAAGGTATTGGTATTTCTCCACCAAGAGTGTCTTTCACTTCAGTGATCTTTCACTATTGACTCCAGGGGAAGTCTGGATGACCAGTTTCAACCAGATCTCTAACTTTTGCATGGTTTTATTTATCTGAAATACATTCTCTGGTGAAGTTAGGGCTATAAAATCTATTTAAGTACATGTGACAGATTTTAATATAATCAGTTACAAGCCAATAAATGTTTGCTTCAAATGTTCGGGTTATAAAAACCATTTCAACATCTGTGACAGAAAAATATTTTAAAATGTTCAGTTACAGGCAAAAAAAATTTGGTATTACTCTGTGAACTCTCCGCATTATAATGGTCACAAGTCAATATTACAGCAATGATGAGAGAAAAAAGGGTCATAATTATGGTTCTTTATTTACCTCATGGTTTTTGTACCTATTGTCAGAGTTTTTCTAAATAACCATAATGGATAGAGATGGCCTAGAATTTGCCCTTCTGAATGAACATAGTTTCTCTCTTGATGAGGATACAGAGTCTACAAACAAACAAACAAACAAACAAACAAACAATGTTGCAATGCAGACTGAATGGAAAATGCAGTTCCTCTTCCAGATAAGCCCAAGTGGGTGATGGGGACCTTTCTTCCCCATGTCCTGATCCAGGTTCAGTAAGCTCCCAGCACCAAACCTCATGAAATTCAATGTGGCCATGTGCAAGATGCTGCACCTGGGCCAGGAAAACCCCTGGTATCAACCCAGAGAGTGGATTGAGAGCAGCCCTGCCGAGGAGGACTTGGGGGTGATGCTCAATGAAAAGGTGGGCAGGATTCAGCAATGACTGGTCACTTCTTGCACTTGCAGCCCAAAAAGCCAACTGTGACCTGGGCTGCATCAAAACCAGCCTGGGCAGTGGGTCAAGGGAGGGGATTCTCTCTCTCTCTCTCTCTCTCTCTGCTTTGCTCTTGGGATATTTCACCTGGAGTGCTGCATCCAGCTCTGGGGGCACCAACACAGAAAAGACAGGGACATGTTGGAGCAGGTCCATAGGGGGACACAAAGATGCTCCAAGGGCTGGAGCCAGGCTGGGAGAGCTGGGGATGTTCACCTGGAGAAGAGAAGGCTCTGGAAGACCTCAGAGCCCCTTCCAGTGCCTAAAGGGAGCTTCCAAGAAAGCCAAAAAGGGATTTTTTTAGAAGGGTATTTAGTGACAGGACAGGGAACAACAGCTTCAGACTGACAGGATTTATATTTGGGTTAAATATCAGGAAGAAATTCTTCCCTGTCAGGCCTTGGCACAGGGTGCCCAGAGAAGCTGTGGCTGCCCCATCCCTGGAAGCGTCCAAGGCCAGGTTGGACGGGGCTTGGAGCAACCTGAGATAGTGGAAGGTGTCCCTGCCCATGGCAGGGGCTGAAATGAAATGAGCTTCAAGGTTCCATCCAACTCAAACCATTCTGTTCCCATTAATGTGTGACAGTGATTTAGAGGATATCAAGAAGAAAGCTTTTATTTGCATCCATAGTTCATTCCTGGGGCATTAAAGCACAGAATGATTTAATCCCTGGCCAAAGAGCAGTGACAGGAAGACTGTGGCAAGGCAAAGATCTGAACCCAGAATGCCCCAGGGCCCTCACCACAAGCCTTTTTTTTCTGAGGGTACGTTCATCTCCATTTTTTCAGTGTAATTGAGTGCAGGAGGTATTCACAGTCACTGCTGCTGTTTTTGAGCACAGTCTATTAGAGAATAATATGAACCAGCCTCTAGAAACAAAACAATACTTTTCAGATGTACAGAAGATAACATGAGCAGCAAAGGAATTGATGTCATCCCTACCTGAGATGAAGGAGGATGGAGTGATGCTTTTCTGAGGCCCTTCCTTGTCTTATGAGTTTTTCACTGTAGAGTGGCCCTGGGAAGGCAAGCAGAGGGATAATTCAGTATTAGCAACACAAACTGGGCACTGTGTAAACATGGGGAAAGAGCTGGAAGTTTTTCTCTGTGAATGCAGGGAATGTTCACTAAATATGTAACTTACTCCCACTTTTGTTTCCTGTCAGGTATCAAGAGCAATGAGCAGAGGACCTGGCTGCAAGTCAATGACACTTGTGGGATTAATTTTTTGCAAGTTTAATGATCTCTTATATCCCTGCAAAGGGTGTTTCACACCACTTCAAAGGAATGAAGTGCAAAGAAGTAAAACCTAAAGCACTTTAGAAGGTGTGGAAAATGCTCTCTGAAAGCAACCTGTCGCTGCAGTTCAGTTAACCATGAAAACTCAAGCAATTAAGATGCTAGTGACTAAGAAATAATAATTTTGAGAAAGTAGTTTTTCTTCTTTCCCTCACAGTCCTGCTCTATGCCATATTTACAGCCGTCTTGAGCTGGCAGTTTTGTACAGGGGGAATTAATCTCTTCTTGGCTTAAAGGGTCAAAAGACCTCAGAAAGGAAATCAGGACAGAACAGCTATGACTTCTCTCACTCATATGATTATAATCTGAAGGCTGGAAAAGAGACCTGAACATGATTTGATGAAGAAAATGACAGAGGGTCGACATGAGGCTTCTGGTGCTCTCCCTGCTGCCAGGGACCTTTAAATTCCAAGCAATATCTTTCACTGGAAGTTAAAATCCAAAGAAGTTGCCTTAGCAGTAGGTTGCTGTGATGGTTGTCAGTCAGGCAGCTCTGCTCAGTGCTGTCCTCAGCAGGGTCATTGTCAAAGAGCTGCTGATGCCACCACAGTTTATTGCAGAGCAGAAGCTTTGTCTTCCCCATTCTACCAAATAAGAGATTTGTTATCATCAAGCCTCTGTTTTGCCCTTGTTTCCCAATCTTTTTTCTTTCTCCATTAAACTCTGTGTTCCAGATTGAATAAGCAAACCTGCTCTTTTCCATCCAAGAGAAGCATCTTCATGAATTTCCACTCTTATCTGCCTCTATTTTTTACAGGATTCAGTCTCAGCTATTTTTCTTTTCTCTAAATAATAAGTTGTAATCCTGGCATTTTTGAATTCCCAGCATGAGTCCATTTAGAAATTAGTAAGAGTAATTCTAATATGAAAGAAAATTGGCCTTTTAAAACTATTGTTGTGTCACAATGGTGCTGAGAGGCACAAACCAACAACGACACTGCTTTGTTATTGAAGTGAAGGGGAGAACGACCATCCTGGTAATGCATCGAAGTCCAACTTTATTGATCAATCAATCACCTTAAATAACAGTGCTAACGAACGCCATGAATATTCTGTAATCCAATGTCATGATAGGCTAACAGAGAAATTTCTAACCACTCCCTTTGTTTTAGAATACCTACAATTGTTTATTAAAGACAGAAACCAAAACAGAAACCAGAAACTAAAACAGAAACTAGTGTTCCCAAAACCTCTACATCTGTTCTCAGGATAACAGGCCTTCCCAAGGATGGTGTTCTGCTTGCCATGGGAAGACAAGCTGAGAACTTTATTGTTTATAGAATGATGCCTGAGAGAGTCTAATTGTTTATACAAATCAGAAGGCTGAGAACTGTTAGAAACGGCCTTACTTTTCCCTTATACTTTTCTCTCAATTTTATGTCTCATGGCCTTTTCTTTAGGTCATTCTCCGACATTTCCCCCGTTTTTTCTTTTTAAGAAAGGAGGTTAGTTTGCAGGTTTTTTCTATTATCTTACTATTTTTTGAATGCAACAAGG